TTCCACAATCAATGAAATGAAATCTAGCATTCAGCCAAAATATGGAATTCTGTCACTCTACACCTATTCTCTTCAGTTATAGTTTTCAGGATTGGGCTGTCTTGAAACTAGCCGAAAGGCCTTTTGAGCGTTCCAGGTCATGAAAAAATCATCTAAAAAGCGATGCCGGTAATAATAGCTTGAAAATGGTAAGATTAAGGAGCGCAGACTTGGTGACCCTTATGTGTATGCCTTGAAGTGAGCGCCTATGCTTGACAAAATACACTCAGCCTCTTGTAAGGTTCACCTTGAGGAATTAGCTTTGTGGCCCTTAAGAAAGGCCTTTCGTGAGGTGTGGCTTTTTAGAAACAATGACGATAAGGAATTGGTTAGCATATTTTATCATTACTTTTGAATTTAATTTAGTTATCCTTATTAAAAGAACTTTGGTCTATCGTATTTTCGTTCATTTCAAGATTCATTAATGATAAGTTGTGTACTGTACTAGGGATATTATGGCTCAGATTGAACATGAAGATATGGCTGTGATGGACCTAATCAGATCCAATGAATGGGTATACCCCAACTTTGCCTGTCTAGATCACCGTTTGAATTTATGTCCTTTATTGACTTTCTTTTTTGAACTGAAACCAAAAGACATCGATTTTTCTTGATTGGATCATTCTATGGACGAATTTTTACATGATTTGATCAGTTACTTGTAACATTTTGAGCCTCATAACTGTTACTGGTGTTTGATGGATCTTTTTTTGGTCATTTTCTTTAAAGAATTTTATCCGATGTTAAATCGTAATTATTTATAACTGGTATTATACATTTTATGTTACCATTTTTACCTTATCCTGATGTTCCATTTGTATACTTTTGTGAGCAAATGAGATCAAACAATTTACTTGGAATAACAATCATGGTTTTGGATTAAGCAATTAAACTGCGTCGGGTTTTAATTCTTGATATACCACTATGAAATTCTATTCTTATGGAACGTGTAGCATTAATTTTGATTTCAGTTGCTGTGTTCTTTGTTTCTAATTGTACAAGTGCAGGTTGTAATGTTAGATGAGCATGGAGTCGATGTAAGATCTGAGCAAATGGCTTCTTTGATTGGGGATGCTGGTAACAAAGTATGAAAGACTCTCTGTTTAAAAATCTTTCTGTAGTGGATCTACTCTATTAGTATGTGAAATAGGGAACAAACATTTATAAAAACATGCATTGTCCTATTATATGATTACCACGTCCATTTTGGATGAGTGGTAAGTATGCACAAGTAATAAAGAAAATTAGCTCTAGCTCTGATGTCATGCCCCTAGACTTTCTGATGGATGACAGGTTTCCCTTTTCAATAGGGAGCTTCAAGCTTACTATTTTGCATAGGTGGGCCTTATGGTCATGGAAGGCAGTTGAGAGAGAGGGCCAATGTATCGATCAAATTGTCAACTTTGGTCTTTAATCATGAAATTGCCTTAGTTGTACTCTGTGAGCAACTTTACAGGTAAGAAATATACCAAATTCAAATTTGGAGTTTGAGATTCATGAATTAAATATGCTTCTGCTTCAATTTAATTTGATTATTTGTTTTTTTACTTCGTTTTTTTGGTGTTGGGATCGGGGAGGATGAGAACTTCTGAAGGAACCTCCTATTCTTTGCTGGGAAGTCAGTCCATTCCATGGATTGATCAGGCAAGCAAGCTAGTGAGCCAGGAAACTGTACAATTGAGATTGAAGAAAACATTAAAAATATAGATTTCTTGAACTTTTTTTGTAATTAAACTGAAAATATTTTCTCAAATAAGTGTGAAAGAAATATATTATACCTCCAGAAACCAGCTTCCTAACCTTTCTTTTTTTTTAAAACCCATCAGGAAGGAACTTGCACTAGTTATGGAGTTAGGCAGGCGCACTCCTGCTGTTTGCAAGTTTATAGACCCTGTTTGAACCCCATTCTTGAAAAACTTATTTTTCGTCAAACTTATTTTCAACCACATCTCCCAATAAAATAATTTTTCATGTAAACCGAAATTTTTTCCTACTTTTAAACCATACATTCTCAAAAAAAAGTCACTACTTCAAAATCTATTTTTCCAAATAATTGGGTTCAAACAAACCCTTAGAGAGCACTTCCATTTCTCCTATAGTTTCAGTGGAAGATCTGGGAATAATTGTATATGCTGAATTCTTGAAAGACAGATACCTTTCTTTTATTGTTTAACATTATGTGGATTGTGGAAAAAGAGAGTTGAAGATGGCAGAATTATTTTATTTATTAATGCCTGTGGTAGCCAGGTGATTTGAATAATCCAAGATAGTTAAGACGGCGACCTCTGGATTTCTGCAATTATATTTTCTTAATATGATCCATCTATCAATATTTTAAAAGAGTAAAAATAATAAACTTCAGAATGTGTAGTATACATTAGATTGCAAAGGGCCGCACTTTGGAGTCTCATTGTGATCCGAATGGGGTTTGGAGAAGGGAGAGCTAGCCTATAGTGCTCACCCTTGAAATAGGAAGACAATTAAGTCCTGCTATGGAACTTTGTCTGGAAGCAAACATGCTGCACTGATGAATTTGAGCAGGAAATAATACGGGATTTTAAAACAGAAGGGACAGATCGCAGATGTTTAATTTTCATTTTCTAACAGATTGCTTCTAGAAATTTAAGGAGTGAACTTATTTATCGTGTTTCTGGGATAACCATAGAAATTCTGATAAGCTTTGTTATTAACGTTCGAAACTTTCTCCTTCTGAAGGTTACTCCACTTGGAACCTCTGTTCTATATATTTATGTTATGTTTTTAGATAATGACCAAGGGTATTCATTGTTTATGAGTATTTTATAGGGCATGGACGATTCTCAAAGGACAGAAGTACCATCACTAGATACTTTTTTACAAAAAATGACAGTCAAGCCAAACATGTATGCTGTTTTCTCTGCTACATCTTGGAACATCATTATTTGATTATTCTCGCGGTATATATTGTGCGCGTGGATTTGTTCGGATCGCCTACATATTCATGTAAGATGTTATTTCTATGCAGCGTACTTGTAAAGTTGGCATGAATATTATATTACTCCAATAAGAGGTGATCTTCTTCAAGTAATCTTGCCATAGTTTTGATGAAAGCTTTAGAACTCTCGAGTCTGTAATAGTTGGACTGACAAAGAGAGCTCTTTTACTTTTTTCTCTTCAGTTTTTCACCTTTTCTTATCAGGTCTAAAGAAGTCATTTGCCTGCCTACTTAAAAGGATCAATGGAGAAGTACAGAGGAAACAAGAACTATACATGGTTTTTATTTATTTTACAAAAATCCTGTGATATTCTATTGAAGTTCTGTGGTGGGGTGCAAGAGAATGCATTTCTGTTGCATTATTCAATAATATTGAGGATATGTACGGTGGAGTATGAATGGGCTTGAGATGCAGAGGTAATAGTCGTCAGAATTGCACATCTTAAGGTAGAGGTGTCAATCCGGGTGGTCCGGGCTGAGTCGGCCTGCCAACATATGAGTCCGGTAACGGTCCGCGTAAAAAAAAAGCCCTTCCACTACGGGTTCCTGATCGGTCCACAAATTTTGGGGTACAACCTAGGCCCGCCCACTGACCCATTCAGGTCGAGCCCATGTGGCTCACGGGTCAAGCTGGTCGCGATTTTAAAATTTTTTTGAATTTTTTTTCACAAGCCAATGAGTTAACCGTAGCCTGTGAAGGTGCAACCCGCCAACCTGCGGATCACACCTTCTTGACCCGTGAACCACCCGCTCGGGTCACGAGTCGGCCAGCGAGTCGATCCCGATCGATTTTCACGGGTCGGCCGGTCCGTCCATCTTGACACCTCTATCTTAGGGGCTCGTTTGTCAAGACTTTTTAAATGTCAAAAGCTACTTATCAAACTAAGAAGCTGTTTTTGAACCTGTTTCGATTATTCTCCGAAACAAACATGGAAATATTTCATATAGTCTATCTCATCAGTTAAAATCTTGTAAAGTGGTGAATTTCCTTTCATTTTTTAATAAACAAAAAATAATAATTACATTTACAGTTCCAATATTTAAAAAAAAAAAAATTGTGAAAGAAAATGAGTCTCAGTTAAAAAAAAAAAAAGGAAAAAAAAAAATCTTCTTTTATCGATCTCGCACCCTTGGGCTTCGGTCATCACCACCACACAATTTGACAAATACATACATCTTACCCGCGAATGAATGACGTCATGAATCATTCCTACAAGTCACAATCCAGCAATTACTTTTCAACATTAATGCTTGAAAAGCTCTACAAAATGCCACCAGCATTATTTTTTTTTTTTTTTTGTTTTTAATTCGATAAAAATCTTTTTTTTTTCCCCTTTTTTAATATGTTTTAAATTGTTTCAATTCAAACTTGTCTGCATGAAAAATTTAAGACGGACTGCAATTATTCTTTATGTTTTTTTTCTTTTCGTTTATTTTAAAAGGTAACGTATTCATCATTTTACAAGACTTTACGAAAAGGATGATTTTCCCAACGTTTGCTTGATCTGAGAGTGAAATTGAAAGGCTAAGAAATATCTGCAATTATGGTATGGTGCCTAAAAGGTTGTGGTTATGCCAGAGGGAGTGGACCATAAGAGACTATTAATCAAGAGTGTCGTTATGTTGATACTAAACAACAATGTATTTTCTGTTAAAAATCTAATGATACGTGAGAAAAATCAAATCTTAGCTTATGAAAATGGACAAATTAATGTACACCATAGAATTAACTACAGATGCAAATCCCTCGAATTCAATCAAACCCAAGTTCAATAAAAAAAAATCTATTCGAGAGAGAATAGTACGACACATTACTAGCAAGTTCTTAATTCTTGACCCGAGTCAATATCTTCTATTTAAAAATCAGATCAACAAATCTTCTCATTTGGTCAGGATTTTACTTTCAAATCTCGCCAATTTTGATGCTCAAACAAGAGCTAAAGATAAAATGACTATTTGAGATGTAGATATTTGAATTACGTCTGTTAATCTTCAAATTATAGGATATTTATAGATTTCCCTTCAAATTTTGAGGTAATATGAACATTTTGGGAGAATGAAAGATGACGACTCCTTATCGATTACTTAGTAATAGATTCTGGCTCAATCCTATATCATCGATCATCACATCATGTGTGTGTAAATTATTAAATAAATTATTATGTACATATAGTACAAACATACTAAAAATATGAAGGAAATCAAAAGGAATATATGAAAAAAACTAAAACAAATAAGAAATAGCTGCAGTCATGGTATGGTGCCTGAAAGGTGGTGGTTATGCCGGAGAGAATGCACTATAAGACATCATTAATCAAGATTCTGAATACGTATCTGTCGAAGTGTCATTAACTTGATGTTGAAACAAAAACGTATTTTCTGTCAAAAATTCAAAGAAACGTGACACATCAAATCTTAGCTTATGAAAATGGACAAATTAATGTACACCTTAGAATTAGCTACAGATGTAAATCCCTCAAATTCAATCTATCCCCAGTTCAATAAAAAAATAAAAATATCCAAGAGAATTGGGCACATCATTGGCAAGTTGTTAATTCTCCACCCAAGTTGTCAATTCTCCACCCAAGTCAATATCTTTCATTAGCCGGGTTTCGATGAACATAGACAAAAAGGTAGCAGTGAAGCAATTTGAGCCAGCAAATTTATAAAATTCTACTGAAATTGTTGAAGAAATTGAAATTGAACACAGGAGGATGCTCAGCACTATCATTGAAATAAAATGTTGTAATCTGATACAGTTTAGAGAAATTGTATTCACTAATGTGTATTCCATCCATTAGCGTGTCGACCAAACTCCTTCGCTCGTGTGATTCTCTAATCTACGCTAGAAGTTCGTAAACTAAACAAGAAAAGAATGTGTCTACTTCTAAGAGAGAATAAGCCCAAAACAACTTCTAGCTCGAGAGGAGATTCTGCAAATAAACTCAGAGCTCTACCGGTTCAAGGGAACTGTTTCAGGCAGAGGTCGCAATTTGAGAGGTGAAGACGATGCCATGTGAGACTTAAGAGTGCTGCTACAAGGAGACAGTAACTTCTTCTCCTTCGGCACGCCTCCCACAATTCCCAGGACCTTCTTCACTTCATTTGCCAGCTCTATGACAGACTCATCTTCATGACCTGTTTATTTATACATACAAAATGAGACATCGAACATAGTTCCTCTAGTCGAGCATAAATCAATCAATGAATCCAGTACTCAAAGCTAGCAGCAAAAGTAATGAAACTTACCAATGTCAAACATGGCTTTCTCCAACAAGAAAATGTAATCTCTGTTGTTACCGCAGGGACCATTGGCGGTTGCAATTTCCCTGGATTAAACATACACGAGAAATTAGAATTTCATGGGATTAAACATAATTACATAGGAAAAACAGAGTAAGGATGAGGCTTTCTCACCTCGCCATGTCCTCCAGAGGGGCAGGTCCTAGATAGTACTTGTTCGAAACTTTGTCTTGAGTTGATGTGAACCTGCAATGCCGAGAACCTATCTTTTTGAGCAATTTCGGACAAATGACCAACAGATGTTTATCAAGATTGTAAGACGAACACAAATTCGAAGAAAGCACTAAAACTACTTACACTATCACTCCAGTTAAGAAGGACTGCTCGGAGTCTCCTTCCTGCATTGAAGAGGAGAAACTTCAATCAATACACAAAATCTAAAACCCAGAAAAACCTCTTTATTAGCAAATGGGAAACAAGATACCGAAAACTTAACAGACCTTGTAAAAGTCCACCAATGTCTTCTGGTCATACTCGCACTCTCTTCGTTCCAAATACTACAAGAAATAGGTCGTAACAAAAATCAGTTTCTGAACAATTCATAATCAAGAATGCTTGCTGAAGGTGATTCTCCCTTGACATACCTCCATTGCCGCCTTTTCGTTTTCGGCTCCTCCTCGCACGCAGTAGGCAGCACCCCACTGAAAAAGATAAACAAAGCAAAAACTTTGATACAAGGAACTCCAAGTTTGCATAACTAAGGAAAAGGGGATTCGGATCCTATTAAAATGGCAAAAATCCACTTACGCAGACAGCTCCATCATATTGCTCCAAGGCGCAAATTCTTGCAGGGTGCTGAGGAGTACCTCTATGATCAATGCAGGCTGCAAGAAATAAAAGAAAATATGAGCCCTTTTCAAGAAGACCTAAAGCTTATCCCTTATTAGTTAAAGAACCCTCTAATCAAAACGTTTCATTCCTCAAACTATGTACAGCTTTTACATATTCTATGTTCTTAAGTAATGTGCAATCTTTAACTGAAATTTCTACTTGGGAGGAAAGAAAATGAAATTCTCATAACATATTTCGGCATATGAATAGAAACTTACCCAGATCAAAGACTCTCCTGTAGTCCTTGATGAATCCAATTATTTTTTCGTCGTATTTAAATCCAGGGTTCCACACCAATGATCCATAGCCGAAAATCCAGAATACCATTTTTTATCTTTTGTATGAAAATCTGCAAGAAATCATCAACCCATAAAATACCATTCACCATTGAGGCAAAAAAACAACAAAAATGAAAAGGGGTGTGGAATACTCAAAAATACAGAAACAAAAAAAGAAGAAAGAAAAATGCTTACACGAGAAATCAGGATCAAGAGGCAATGAAACCAGGAATTTTAGCACAGATTGTGAGATTATAGATGAGAGAGATGGGAAAATGTATAATGGAGATGGATTTCTGAATCTCTCTCTGAATCTTCGTGCAAGCAGGACAAAGGAGGAAGAGGGATTATAATCATACGAGGAAAACCGTGTCTGGTGTGGAGAGGAGTGAGTGGGTTGGGTGGGAGGGAGGAAGGGAGGAAGGGGAGTGATTGTATGTATGTATGTATGTGGACAAAATGTATGTATATATCAACCCTTTCATTCATTCATTCATAAATTATTATTATTTGTGGATATAAAGAGAGAGAGAAAAAAAGGGGAAATCATAACAATTATAAAATGCTTCTATTGTAATTCAATATTATTAGATAGCAATCACAGTATTTGATTGTGAGAGCAAAGACTGAATTATAATTTCTTTATATGCTACAGAGATAAATGCTTTGAAAAAACAATAGATTTTGTTAATTTAGCTAATGTCTGGTGCACATTTTCTATCCAATTTTAGCCAAAATCGAGCCGTTATATAGTATTTGTGATAGAGAGGAAGTCGATTCTTTACTACATTTAGTAAAACTATCAATTTACCCCTTCGCATAAAATTCATTCGAAGATAAGTAATGCAATTTCGTCTTTATGTTTTATGTGCGATCAGAATCAATTGCACAACTAAATCCCACCGACCCTTATAACGGACCAAAAATTTATTACATTTTGGACAAAATGCATCCCATACAAGGGCTTAATTTCTATAAATTATGATGAAATTATATATAGATTATAGTTTTTAAAAAAAAAAGGCTTCATAATTACCATATGCTTTCTTAATCAATAATTTTATGAGTTGATTAGTAATTACAATAAGGGCTTTTTGATTTGGAGGATTTTCCATGGAAATTGGAAATAAAATTCCATCTTCCCCAAAAAGTGTTGTTTGATAACCAAAATTTGCCACAGAAATCATTTTCTTGGTTTGGCTCACACGGTTACAATTTCCTTGGTTTTTCAGGTATTTATTTATTTATTTTTTTTCAATGAAAACAAATTCTATGGACAATTGTAAAAAATATATATATATATATCCCTTTGATGGACAATTTCCATTAAAAAAAAAATCAAACGAACACCAAAAGATCTAAAATTTCAACATTTTTCAGGTATAAAATTATATTAATCAAACACAATTAATTGACAATTCCCAGGAAAACAATTCTAGACAATTCAATTCCCTGAAATTCATTTTCTTTCCACCCAAATTTCACTCTTGCAATCAAACGCAATCTAATATCTTTGAAGTTACATGCTTGTTAAAATAGTCGCTCAAGTTTTTGCCCATTATACTAATGGTCACTTGGTAAAAAATAACGAAGTTTATATGTAAACATCAAATTAATCGTAAAAAGAAAAATGTGAGACTACTATCTGATCAAAGCTAAAGTCATGTTACATTTTTCTCATCAAAACGAATTTAAATTCCTAACTTTTAATTTTTCTAACTTAACGTAACAAATAACGACGTTTGGTAACACCTTGCACTTAATGATGTCATGTAAGATTTAATTTAATTTTTTATCGAGTGACCATTATTGTAATTATTAAAAATTGAGTGACTATAATCAATTTACCATAACAAAATAATTTCAATGAGTCAATACGTAGCTAACTCAAAACTTCAATAATCATTAACATAATTGACTCTGAGCATACCAAACTTATCCTACTCTATCCTCTTCTTTTAGAAATGTGCTATGAGTGTTTGATATTATTTGTTTGGATTAAATTAAAATCATCTTTATAGTTGATTTTGATAAACGTCGATAAATTTTATTGTTGAAAAGTTGTGAATTTCATAAAATGTATAGTTAAAATTAATTGTTAATTTTCACTTAAAAATTATTCCTTATACTCAGAAAAAAAATTATATTTCTTATGCATATTTAGATGTGACTATAATTTTTAATTTTTATTTTTTGGAAAAATAAAATACATAGAGGCAATAACTCTTTGAATCTCATCGTGTGCTTGATTGGAATATCTTAAAAACTTGCTAAAGTCAAAGTAAACAATTTATTTTGACAACACATTTTACGAAACTTATAACTTTTATTAAGTTTTCAATCATACATTTCATTTATTTTTATCAAAATTTGCTAATATTTTTATCAAAAAATTTGTCAAACAACCCTCGACCGACATTAATACCACGTAGATGGATAGTCTTTTTAACTTATTGGCACCTAGGTAGTAACCCATAAATGAATTGATGTCATCATGAAATTGAAGTCCACTAAATATTCAAGTCCTAAATCATACTCCAAAGCGTGACACGGATTGTTGTCTAGGTGTTTTTTTTTTACTTTTTTAAAATAGGAAAGAAAATCACGTCTAAAATTGTATGTAAAATTTAAATTAGGAAAAAACATTAATTTGCTTAGTCACATCAGCTAACAAAACTTCTAGAGCAATGCTTGGTGTACAGAAAAGTTTTTTACAAAACTTACCTACACACATTGGTGGGTCCTGCATCAATACAAAAAATGCCATAACATACACCTACCCACCCCGCCATTGTGTCTGTCGGGGTGTCGGTAAATTTTACAGAAGAAAAATCTTATATACAAATGGAATTCTTCAAACTTCTAAATCTACACGAAACTCTTGAGATTGTCTATTTTTTCTCAGCTATGCTAGTTTGACGAAATCCCTACCGACTTGCAGCGGAGAGGAATTTTTTTGAAGCTGGAGATCCAAACAGAGCACAAGTTTTGTCTCCTGAAAATAAGAATCCAATATTGAGTAGTAAGAAGTAAAATGATGAAATGGTCATATTATGACTATTGATGGCAGTATGAAAAAGGAAGTAATAGAGTTGATTTCACGACCAATATTTGAACAAATTAATTCTTACAAGGGACAATTCCCATGTTGAAAAATCTCCCACAAGTCAAATTGTTTGTCCAAATTCGCTACGAAAAGGCAACTTCGTGGATTATTAGTTTAATTTGTCGAGTTAAACTTAACACGATAAAACCAAAGTACGAACACTGGTGCCGACGCAGATATTTTTAGTTACGGAAACTTTTGAGTGGTTTAAGGATATTTTGAGTGTTCATAGACATTTTTTTAATATAAGTCAAACAAAGCCTAGTGTTTAGCACACTATTATATTGTACATGATAGGATTGGTAATTTATTTCTTTTTAATTTTTATAATAAGGTTTAGTCTAATTCAAAGGCGTAAGCCCTCTAAAGCTATGGGTAACAATATTGAAAGCATGTTGCAAAAGGTAAGTCGTAAGGATAAATACCTAACTCAAAACACTATATTAAAGGAAAAACGAAAAAGCATATTTTTATAAAATTCATCGAGCCATTCTAGTTATACAATCGACGTTGACAACCTCAGTTGACAACCACTCACATGGAGGGTCCACTTTTTTT